GGTCCCTGTGCTTTGCTAAGCTTGTTCTAAGTAGGTGCTTTAGACCACTGAGCCATCTCACCAGCCCCTCTACCAACATTCTTTAAGCAGGAATAAAAAACATGCTAACTTTGTGTCTCCAAAGCCCCCTTAGAAGGGTAGTACAGTGACTCTCAGTTTATTTGTGATTTATTTTAAGAAATGCTACATCATCAACTTCTTAATATAGAGGACGATACCACAAGTAAACACAGACATCAAAGAGCTTGAATCAAATGCTAAACATGAAAAAGTTTTAGGAATACCTAAGTGCATTTATTCTCTTTAATGCTTTATTTTTATTTTTGCATATACAAATATATGATATGTAATAAAATAATCTATGTTTAATTTAATTTATAACAGCCCTTCCAATCTGTGTAAAATAAACATTCTCAATAGGTCATCATTTAAATTGCCAAGTTTGGAGAGGGAATTAGTTTTTTTTACAGAGGGATTAAACTCAGGGACCTCTCAGCTACTCCCCAGCCCTTTAATTATTTTTCTTTTTTCAAGGTAGGGATTTACTAAATTGATGAGATGTATGCCAGGATTGTGATCAAACTTGTGATTCTCCTGCCTCAGTCTCATGAGTAGCTGGGATTACAAGTATATGCCACACTCCTGGGCTTTTGTGTATGTGTTAAGGGGTTGGAATCTTTGTTAATTTTTCTTTAAAACTTTGTGATTGATACAATAATCATATATACTTATGGAGTATTTTACAAAGTCTTTAATTTTTTCTTAGTTGTATGTATAGTATTATTTATTTATTTATTTATTTATTTATTTAAATTTTTTGGTGGTACCTGGGCTTGAACTCAGGACCCTGCACTTGCAGGCAGGCACTTATTCTACTGATATATCTCCCTGTCTCCCCTGTACCTATAGTATTGACACATCTGATGATAGCATTTTAGATTCAATGTACAGAGCTTTGCAATTTAGAGCCAGTAGTTTGCTGTGTTCTGTATAAAATGGAGAGCTAATAAACCACTCAAGTTTAAGATATTTGAGAACTGTACTGAACTACTGCTGGTTTTATTTCACTTTGACAAAAAGTTACAAGTTATTCTTACTTTTATTTCGTATATGAACAGTTTTTTCTATAAGATTTTGTGTGTGTGTGTGTGTGTGTGTGTGTGTGTGTGTGTGTATTGCTGGGACTTGAACTCAGGGAGTGCTGATGTATATTTCCAACCCTTTTAAATTTTTTTGAGACAGTCTTACTAAGTTGCCCAGGTTGGCCTCAAAATGTAATCCTCTTGCCTCAGTCTTCCAAGTAGCTAGAATTATAAGTTTGTACCACTATACCTGGCTTTCCAAGACTTTTAGTAGTATGTGACCCCTTCTTAAGAGTCCTCAAAATATTTTTCAGTTGGAGATTTCCAGGTTTGTTTTTTTTTTTTTTTTTTTTTTTTTTTTTTTTTTTTTTTTTTTTTTTTTTTTTTTTTTTTTTTTGTGGAACCGGGGATTGAACTCAGATCCTTGCGTTTGCCAGTCAAGCGCTTGTCCTACTGAGCCATCTCCCCAGCCCCACCAGTGGTTTGTTTTTGCATGTACCTTTTCCTTAAAGCTGTCTTGTTTCCTCTGCTAGGGGTGCAGGCTGCATCTTCATTGAAATGTTCCAAGGTCAGCCTTTGTTTCCTGGGGTTTCCAACATTCTTGAACAGCTGGAAAAGATCTGGGAGGTAAGAGGAAAAATCTTCTTAAGAAAAAAAGAAATATCTACTTGTCAAACTTTAATTCAAATTTGCCTTAGACACAAGTGAAATAGTCCATCTGCTTCAAGATATGGAGCCAAGGACTAAGCTCAGAAACTGCGGTGTTTGCCCCGGGGATGCATGAAGGACCTAATGGTGAGGGCAGTCACTGCTGTCCGGTGGAAGCCCACGAGCCACCATTTGACATTGGATCTCCTACTTCCTAAAATCCTTACTGGCTCAGCCTCTGGGGACAAATTCTGCATACTATTGAGGCCACCTTACCTTATCCCCCTATCCCTAGCCCTGCCCTATATTTAGCTATAGATTTTCACTGACTGAATTAAAACATCCCGTTTTCATGAAACCCTGATTAAACAGAGACTGCTAAACAACAAACAACAACAAAAACAAAACAAAAAAACCACAGACTACTGTGCTAGTGTGAGGAGAACGATGCTATTTATAATGCCCATTCACAGCCTAAGGCCTATGTAGCAAGGCATGTATATTAATTTTGTTTCTGCCATTATTATTTGTCCCTACCTTATTTTTCCTAGGATATACTTGTTTTTTTTTCTTTCATAAAAAAATAAGCTATATTTTATTTGCACAACCTCAAAGAAGTGGTAGCCTGCAAGATTTCCTCATTGTAACACCATTCTAGCTCACATATTATAGGATGCACTGGTTTTTAATGTCCCTTATTAATAGTATTACAGTCCTACTATATACTTGTTTTTTGTGGTGACTTTTTATTATGTAAAATATACATAAGATAAAATTTGCCGGGTTGGTCAGATTGGTCACTGGGATAAAGAAATGCTGATATCCTATTGCACAGTGGAAAGACTATGGATAACTATAGGGTTCTGTATATTTCTAAAAGGCGAGAAGAAAGGATTTTGAAAGTTTTCATTACCAACAAAACAAAAACAAACAAATGTTTAAGAAGTTATGCTTACCCTAATGTTACCAACATACAGTGTATACATGTATTGAAATATTATATGGTATCCATAAATATATAATTGTAATGTGGCAATTAAAATTAAATGAGATGATTTTACCATTTGTGGTGTGTGTGTGTGTGTGTGTGTGTGTGTGTGTGTGTGTGTGTGTGTGTAACTGAGGATCAAAACCAGAACCTTTATACCAAGTTACTTACCCAACACTTCAATTTTTTTTTTCAAGACAAGATCTTGTGAATTTGCCCAGACTGGCCTTAAACTTGAAATCCTTCTGCCCCAGGGTCCAAAGTGCTGAGATTATAAGCACTCACTGCCTCCCCTTGTTCATTGCAGCCATTCTTCAATTCATTGCATTAAGTCCCTTAGCACCCCTGGGCCTCCGCCCCATCTTCATTTCCGGAGCCTTTGCCTTATCCCACACAAAAGCTCTGCAGCTGTCGAACAATGGCTCCCTATCTGCCCTCCTTCCTCTCTGCCGCCCTACCTCTACTCACCCTCCCCTCTCCACAAAGGTGCCTATTACAGGGAGCTGTAAGACATGTGGCTTTCTGTACCTGGCTACAATAATATTTTCGAGGTTCATTAAAGTTGTAGAATGTGTCAAGATACTGGGATTTCATTCATGCTTTTCTGCATCTTGTTCCTTGTCTCCTGCCTAAGAAAAAAAATGTACTTTGGGAAAGGGAGAGATTGTGTAGAGATTAATCACTGGCAGTAAATATTCATTTGGAAATGGGAGGGGGGATATTATGAAGAAACACAGAACAAACTGGAAAGCATTCATGAATTAAAATATTTCTCTAACTTTTCTTAGAACTATTTTTAGCAAGGTAGATGAATGCTACTTGAAACATATCATTATGCTTTAACATCATCTAAGCTGGAAGCAGCTTAATTTAATGACTTTGGAGTCAGAAAACCTGGCTTTAAATGCTAGCCACTTTCTAACTGTGTGTTTGGGCAAGTTGTGTAGCAAATTTGAGCTTCAATTCCTTCATCTGCACAGTGACTTGCAAACCTTGCTGTGAAAATTTCACAAGCTCCAATGTCCACCAGACTCCATGCACATTACGTGCTCTGCTGTCATAAGGATGTTTCAGTAACTCAATTACTAAGAAGCATTCGCTGATACTCAAATGGCTGCTGTCTTCTTCACTGTAGTGGACTTACTTCTTGTCCATAGTAGACAAGTGTAACTAGCACTGCCTAGAGCTCATGCTACAATGACTCTACATATTTTAAAAGTTTTCTAATTATTTATTTCTAGGTATTATTCCAACACTTATTGGACAATCACTATATTTAAGTATTTTTCAAGGGCTTATAAGAACCTGTAAGTAGCCAGATGTGGTATTGCACACCTGTAATACCAGCACTCAGGAGGCTGAGGTAGGAGGATCACCACAAATTTGAGGCTAGCCGGGGCTACACAGTGAATTCAAGACCAGCCTAAACTATATATTGAGACCTTGTCTCAAAAAAAAAAAAAAAAAGAGTGGGAACCAGCAAGTCATGGAAAATATACAGTAAGAAAAATGCAGGATCTGTGATTTCAAGTGCTATTCAGTCCTGGTGGGGTGATATGTAAAATAAACACAGACTATATATATATATTTTTTTTTTAAAAAAAAAAACATGTGCATAGATTGCTAATATAAAATGTAATACCAAAACAAGATGTGCTATTAGGATATTTGAGAAGTAATATATTTGAAAAGAATGCACATGTTATTAGTATTTCGGAGTTGTGTGTAACTGAGAGCAGTCATCCTCTGAATGAGGTCCTGGTGTGTTGGCTTGTAAAATAAACACAGACTATATATATATATTTTTTTTTTTTTAAAAAAAACATGTGCATAGATTGCTAATATAAAATGTAATACCAAAACAAGATGTGCTATTAGGATATTTGAGAAGTAATATATTTGAAAAGAATGCACATGTTATTAGTATTTCGGAGTTGTGTGTAACTGATTTTTTCAAATGCTGTGTGTACTATTTAAATGACTACACATTTAGAAAGCAGTTATTTTACAATTCTTTGCATTTAGCATAAAACTTAGAAATCGCAGAGCAGAAAGACTGTCCTAACTGTTCCCTGGGACCTCGTGGCCTTCTAGTTATTAGTACAGGTTTCTAGAACTGACCTTGGTGACTGACGCTGGCCACCTGAAGGACACATCAGGAAATTCAGTGATAAAAGATGTTAGACATTAATCTGGACCTGAAGCACCAAAAACTAAGTGAGCCGGTGAAAGCAAGCACGTCTTAACACATTAGCCCCACAGGCTCTGCCCAGCAAGTCACGTTCGTCTTTACCACTGTCTATAGCACACTGTAGTAAATCAAAGGGACTTGATTTTGACATTTATGGCAACTCGTTACAAATTAAAACAACTAAATGTATTAGAAGTAACGCTGGCCTGGGGGCAGGAATCATGAATTCTGAACACGGCTCAAACTTTAGGTATGAGGCAGAGCAAGTCCGTATCCAATCTTCCTGGGTTACGGTGCTTTAAATTGTATTTGATTCTCTGACTCTGAGAAGTTGTGATTTCTATAAACAAAGTGCAGAGAGAACATGGCAGTGCCAATCATTTGTAATCATGGTATTTTCTTTGCTTGTCATAGCTTTTCCCTTAGTTATTTCTCAAGTTTGTGCAGTCGCCTAGTTCATGTTAACTTTCAGTCTGTGCTTCAGGGAGACGGTGCTATGTTGATTAGCTATGTATTATGAGCACCAGCAGGTTGGGTTCATTAAATCTCATTCTCATGGCTCTATCCAAGCAGCTTTTGTTATCACATCTATAGTTCCACACTCTGAGGAAAAAACAAGAAAATCACCATATCCTGCAGCTTTGCTGTCTTCTCTACTGCTCTATCTCAAGCAAGACAGAATTTATTTTTCTTAGTGTAGTGACTGACCTATGATAGGTGCTAAATAATAATAATAATAAAAAATAATTGTAGCTAGTGTGGTGGTGCATGCCTATAATCCCAGCACTTGGGAGGCTAAGGCAGGAGGATTGCCACAAATTCAAGGACAGCCTTGGCTACGTAGTATGTTCAGGGGCAGCCTCAACTATATAGCAAGACCTGTCTCAAAAAAGCAAAAAATAAAATAAATAATAATTGCATTTCCCTTTGGTCTTCATATGTAAAATATAGTAGTAACTGATACATACTACAAAAATTTAGGCCACAAAGGAAGCTTTCAGTAGTTACATAAGGAAAGAATAGCCAAAAAGGGACTATTTAACTGTTTATTCAAGAGTTTTGTTTTTATATGTGAGGAAATAATGTCCCAGAGTAGTTTCAACATTCCCAAGGTCGGGCCGGCCAAATAGCTCAGTGGATTAAAGCGCCTGCAAGGAGGTGCAGGGGCTGGGATTCGATCCCTGGGCCTGTACCCCTGGGGTGCGCTGAGATGGCCATTGAGACTGGGCATGGTGGTGTGCACCTGTAATCCTAGCTCTTGGGAGGCTGTAAACAGGTGCATCACTACGAGTTCAATCTGGTAGTGAGACCCTGAACACCCTGTAGACCCTTCCCTAAAACAAAAACAAAAACAAAAATCCCACAGTTTGCTATGATGTTACAGCAAAAGTTAATTCCACAGAAAAGAAAAGTTTGGTGGGATATGGGATGAAGCCGCTGCTGTTATATTTGATGACATCACAATGTCTATACAAAGCTTAGCCATATGGCTGTAGTACCCATCTGAGTGATAGTGGGTATGAGCTTCAGATCTGAATTCATTTCTTTCTTTTGTAATTGACAAATAAAACCTATACACATTTATCATGTACATAATTTATTTTTACAGTACTGGGGATAGGAGCCAGGGCTTTGCACATGCTAGGCAGGAGCTGTACCACTCATCTACACCACAGCTCCAACATGATATTTTACAGTATGCACACACTGTGTAATGGGTAAGTTGAGCTAATTATCATGTACATCACTTCCCATACGTATCGTTTTCTGTGATGAGAATACCTAAAATCTCAGTAACTTTCAAGAACACAATACATTATTAACTATAGTCATCATGTTGTACTATGGATTTCTCAGACTTATTCCTCATTTCTAATTGAAAATTTTTATCCTTCAAGCAATAACTCCTCTCCATCCACCCTACATTTCTAACTAACCAACTTTCTATTTACAATTTCTGTAAGTTCAAATTCTTTAGATTCCACATGTAAGTGAATCATGAGGCTTTTTCTTTCTCTCCCTGGCCTACCTTACTTAACATAAAATCATACAGGTTTAATCATGTTGCCACCAATAACAAGATCTGCTTCTTGTTAAAGGCTGGGTAAAAGTCCATTGTGTTTATGTACACTTCTTTATCCATTCATTTGTTGATGGACACTTAAATCAATTTCATATCTTAGGTATTCTCAATAATGATGCAATAAACATGAGAGTATAAATGTCTTTTCTACATACTAATTTCATTTCCTTTAGATACACATCCACTACTGGGATTATTGGATCGTATGGAAATTCCATTTCTAATTTTTTGTAGAACTTTCATATCAGACTTCATAATGACATATTAATTAACATTTCTACCAGCACAATGCAAAGGTTACATTCCACCAACACCTTTTTTTTTTTTGATAGAAGCCATTCCAACAGTCATGAGGTAATATTTCTATGGTCCTAACCGGAATTTCTCTGATAATCACTGGGGATGAACATTTTTTTATATATCTGTTGGCCATTTGTATGTCTTTTTTGAGAAATGTATTAATATTCTTTATTCATTTTTTTAAGTTAGGTTATTCAGGTTTTTAATCAAAGTACTAAATTTTTTCAGCCTCATATGCTTCAGAAATTACCCTTTTATTAGGTGTGTGGTTTGTAAATATTCTCTTTTACTCCATATTTTATCTCATTATTTCCTTATTTTTTAGCTCTTTAGTTTGTTAGCCTTTTAGATTTATGTAACCCCATTTGTCTGTTTTCATTATTGTTATCTGTCCAATAGGTTACAAAATCAAACAAGCTACAAATAGTTCCTGAATGTGTGTTTTTACTAAATGTGGTTTGCACAGATAAAAATAGGACAGCTATTTAAAGTTTTGTGACATTTGATATAAGAATCTTTAAATCAATGGGCCTAGTCTAAATTTCCCAACCTATAACCACATTGTTTTCTCTACAGTTACCCTCAGGTCTCATTCTTAGGGACAAAGACCAAATGAGAAGTCTTAAATCTTTGTTTTACCATTTTCCTGGCCTGTGGACTTGCATGTGTATATGCACATTCATGTATTTACATCTAAATAATAACTCTCAACAGTTCCTAATTAGTTTCTTAAAATCTAATTCGTTCAGTAAGTGTTTTTGCAAATAATCTTGGATTTGGTTCTAAAGTCAGAATAAACTTTGCAGACGTTAAGTCCATTAATCAAAATGCCTTTCATTTCCATTCCAACAAAGGCCAATCCACAGTCCTTCCAGCCACTATGGCCTTCAGGGAGGGCATTAACAGCAATTCTTTGTTTTCAGTTTCTCAGTTCAGAAGGCAAAAGGAAGTTTTAGTCATTTTCTCAAGTGAAAAGAATTCTACAACTTCCAAATAGAACCCGAGTATCAAATTTCTAAATAAAAGTATGTTGTTTTTTTTTTCTAAAATCTGAAGCTTAAAACTTTCAACATAAGATTTTTCAAAAGATTTGCTCCCTATTTTGTTGCCATTAGACATAAAACAGAATTATCAACCAGTCTGGTGGCATTCAGAAAATATGGATGAGGTTTTATTTATTTCCTTCTCTTCAGTATCTTTGCTTTCTTTTCATTCTGCTTTGCCAGCCAACAAAAGATGAATGGGTACCCCTGAATCACACCCACTTGCTTACATATGCATCTGTGCAAATAAACACAGAAGATTCTAGGTTGAGAAAGAAGAATTAGCTTCTGTCCTCTGGCCCTCACTCACAAAAAAGGAATTAGTTCAGTTGGTTTTTCAAAATGGATTCCAGGATTCTTAGTCTCCCCTCGGGCTCAGGGTGGTTGATAGAAAAAGCCTAGAATCCTCTCAGTTGCTTTTTAGTTTGTTTAGAGAGTGAATCAAAGCAGAAGATTTTACTGGGGGGCATGATTTTTTTTTTTCAGATTTATATTATAAAAGGGAAAACAGCACTGCAGTGTCCACTGTTTGAAGACAAGCTTACCAGGCTTCCTAGAGTCAGCCAGAGTCCTACACTGATAAAGTTAAGACTCTGGACCTTTGTTGATTATATGTAGCCATTGCTGGACAGTTAACATCCTACCATTGAAATGGGGTCAGCTTCTATAATCAGCATTTTATAGATGGAACCATTGATCCTTTCCAGAAGAGGGGTTTCTCAGGAGTTATACTGGGAAGCGCTTCTAAAAGAGTTTACTATAGTGGTGTCACAAAAACTATAGGTTACTATAGTAGTGTCGTAAAAATAGTGTTATGCTGACTAACTGGATAGAATTGGGCTGGAGCTTTTATTATTATCTTAGAAGAATAGTAGGATGATCCCTATAGAGGAACTTACAATGACATATCCATGCAAATTCTGTTTTGGTTTTGTGTTCCAAAAGACTTATTGTCATATGACATTTTAGTTAAGAATTGGAGCTTCGGGGCTGGGGAGATGACTCAGTGGAATAAGCGCTTCCCTGGCAAGCGCAAAGGCCTGAGTTCAATCCGTGGTTCTACAAAAAAAAAAAAAAAAAAGAATTGGAGTTTCAATTTATTCACCTAAGGCACACCAGTTCTTTTTCAAATTAAGCTGCCACTACATTATACTGTACTGTGAAAACCCAAACACCACATTCTAAGCTGCTAGACACAGAGAAAACTAGAATATGAAATGGATTTGATGGGAAGGACAAGGTTAGGCTCAAGTCAATTTTGACCAATATTCCACTGCTTGAAGGTCAGTAATATGAACCCTTTTAATTTGAGTGCTTCTGGAGACAGCTGAACACCCATGCTCAGGCATAATTTAAGCTGTCAAGGGTTTCCTGTCCATATGCTGAAGGCAATGTGATATAAAGCAAAGGGATGGTTACTTTTCTTTCTTTATATCCCTAATTGCCAACATGACATCTTCATGCATGGTGATTCTGCAATAAATATTTGCACATGAGAATGACTTTATTTATTTATTTATTTTGGCAAAAACTCAGGCCCTTGTGCTTGCCAGGGAAGCGCTTATTCTACTGAGCCATCTCCCTGGCCCCGAGAATGACTTTAACCCAGGATGTATTATGCACCTCAGAGCAACAACTGTGTTGATAAAGACAAGTTTAGGACCATAGGAATATACTAGTGTTTGTTCAGTAGACTAAAAAAAAACCATATAATGTGATATAATCAAATTCCTCCACATTCCTCTCTTATCTGCCTATTATGTCTCTGTGTCTTCTCTGCCAACCTAGTCTGCTCCCTGACCTTTCTTTATCTTTCTTTGGTTTTATGTAGGTGTTAGGAGTCCCTACTGAGGATACTTGGCCTGGAGTCTCCAAGCTACCTAACTACAACCCAGGTAATACTGACCCATGCTTCTGAATGCTCAGAGAACTTGCCAAGTCAGGAGAGCACCGCCACTCTGAGAGTGCATCTTATATGGTGAACTTAACAGTCAAGATAGATTTCTGTGTTTCCCGACTAATCCTTTTATGAGAAAGACATTGAAATAGAAGTTAAGGTTTGAGCAGTTCTCAACTCTAAATAGCAAGATGAAAAAGAATTTGAAATGACTATTGCTGTGAATTCCACATCCAATTCTAAATATACAATAGCTCAGAACAAAGAACTAAAAAGGTGGCCTGCCTTTGAGCATCACGAGTATCATTGTTTGCTAGAATATTGAGCCTCATAAAGCATAGAGATAAAGCTAAAGCATCACAGGGGAGTTAAAGGTTTGCTAGGCCTACAAAACATAAGTATCTAGATTGTACTTAACAAGAATTCACTCACTGACTGTAGATGGGACAGTTTTTCCATATCTGTCACATAGTTCATCTTCCAAAACTGTCTGCAAGGGACAGATTTGGAAGTGTTACAAATACTGTCCATGGGTAAAGCCTTTGAGAAGTGATCTGAAGGCCATACCAACAGAGTCAAATTACCTAACAATTACCTCAAGGACATTAAGACAGAAGGAGGAGGTAAGTAATGAGGCAGAGGTTGAAGAACCAGAAGCTAGAGAAACAAGTAAGGCCCATGCCAAACCAAGGCACCCATTGGCAGGATTAAAGAGGAGGTAGGTTGGTATGACTAAGGACAAGGTCGGTATGAATATGCTCCTACTCACACTGTCTAGTCTTTATATCCTTGCATCTTCCTATTACTAAATCCCAAATCTTTCCAAATTGTTGCCATTACAGTATTTAGTATGATATTATTCTGCAAGAGTTTCATGAGAACAAGAAATTGTAAGAAGATTAGAAGTGTAAAAAAATGAAGGCTATTGGCTGTGGGAGGAGTCCCTTTTTTAAGCCCAGTATCTAATGCTTTTACTCAAACAGATATACATAGGAGGGACCAGGCATCTTGAATTGACTAGGTTTATAGAAACCCCAACAGAGGGCTACAAGACTACCTGCAAAGTCCTTTCAACTGCTTTATAAATGATCGTTTAAAATAAATAAATAAATAAATAAATAATCGTTTCCATTGTTAAATCACCTTAGTTCATTTACAAGTGTTTATTATTTCTAACTTTTTTTTTTTTTTTTTTTTTTTTGTGGAACCGGGGATTGAACTCAGGTCCTTGAGCTTGCCAGGAAAACGCTTATTCCTCTGAGCCATCTCCCCGGCCCCATCTAACTTTTTTTTTTTTGCTAGAGTTCAATATCTAAGAAAAATGCTACCTTGGCCATAGGACTTAGAAGTGCCTTTCTCCGTTTCTCACAAGATATAAGGAAAAATTAAAAGCTTTTTGTGAAGCCCACAGTCCCTTCTGTAGGAACTCCTGTCTCAAGTTACCAAGGCTTCCTGCCTGTTCTTTCCATACACTCTTTTCTCCATTATGATGGAAATGGGGCCCCTTTTCTTTCCTCAGCTTCCTATCGTGGACATAAGGGAGTCACAGAGAACATTTTGGATGATGTCAGTACAAAGTTGACATGGTGAACTGTGATAGTCCTTCTCCATTCTCCAAGCATTTTGGTTTCAGGTTGGTGCACGTAATAAATGCAGATCCTTAATACAAAATGTCTTGAGTAGAAGCATGACCAAAAGGCTTCCCCTGCCAGATTCTACAATAAAAAAAAAAAAAAAAAAGAACTAGGCCCTAATAAAACAGGAAAATTTGTTACATTTTTCATTTTGCTATGAGGTCAAAGTAATGTGCAAATTCCTACTTATGAAGAAAAATTCTCCAGGCTCAATGACGATGGCTTATACTTTGCATTGTTTTTCTAG